ATGTGCCAGATCTTTAAGGGTAGAGGGGAACAGATAGCACCACAGCACAGGACACCCTTCTTTTAGGGGAGATGAAGGGAAAACTTCCAGGGAAAGTAAAATGCATTGGGACTTCCCTTAAGTCAAAGAATTTTTTTTTCCCTTTGTGCAATAATGGTTGGGCAACTCATTTGCTCAGCCAGAAGAGAACTGGCATCAAAGTTTCTCCACCAAGAGTTGTAGGTATAAAAACGTATTAGAGGTGGCTGTATTTGTAAGCAGCAGTGTTACTTCCTGTGCTCGGAAACAGGGCAAGTTTCTATTTCAGTCTTCGCTGACTCAAGGGTGAGGTGCCCAGGCTGATTCAGCAGCTTGGCAAAGCAGGAGAACTTCTCGTTATGAATGGAATAAGTAATAAATTGTAAAGTTTGTCTTAATCTTCCAGAAATGTATATTTGAGTGAAACCACCTCCTGGTGGCAGATATTTTGCAGAAAAAAAAGGCATTATCTGTATTGTTTTCAACTTAGGAGGCCACTTGAATGAGGCAACCATAAAGCAAGCAAGTAAAATCCTGCTCTTGTAGGAGCTTGTGATTCCCACTCAGGTGAGCAAAGTTTTTTCCTCCCTCTTGAGACGCAAATGAAATAAAAAGATCTTCTATTGCTTTATCTGCTTATTTCATCTGTGCAGCTCACTTGGGAAATGAAATTGTGTCAGTGTTATGAATTGAATCAGAAAATTCTAATATGAACCACAATTTCAGAAGGATGAAAACTGCAGAGTGCAATTAAGAAAACCAGCTACAGTGAGAAAATAAGAACACACCACTCACACAGCTTCCCTTGCTTCATATGGAAAAGATGCCAAAGGTAATCCTTGGGCTCTTCTTTTACATAAATGTGAAAAAAAACATGAAATATAGATCCTCATTTCTCTGAATTTAAAATACATGGAGGAATAATGGTCTTCCAAAATATTTTCTAGTGTTTACATGTTAGTTTGAGAACGGAAGTTGGAGAAGTTATTTTCATAATGAAAACACGAGTGCTTTACTTGGAGATTCCCCGGGTTTGGAGCAGAGCTCAGGGTGAATGCCGGGCCAGCCGGCAAGCTTGCAGAAGCCGAAGTTTGTCAGAAAGTGAGATCCTGCTGCCTACCCAAGTAAGGACACAGGGAACGGGGCATCTTCAGGGGCATCCCTTAAATCTTGCTGCCTCTGGATACATGAACAGGTTTTTAAGGTGTTTCCCTCCAATGTTTATGCTGTATCAACAGGTAGACAGGATGAACACTCGTCATCTGTGACATCTATGCCACTTTATTCTTTCAGGTTGTAAGCTTTGCTTTGTCGGCATATAATAAAATTCATAAGCTTCTAAATAGCATTCTTCCTCCCCAGGCATTAAAATATTTCTCTGCTGTTCTAGCTAGCAGTTCCCCTCTTATATTTTTTACATGGACCAAGTTCTGCCTCACCAAGGCAGCCTGCTAAATCTAAAAAAAAAGGATCATGTGGGTTGCCTCGCTTTAAGACACCCCCCCACTAAATGGTTTCATGCAGCTCCACCAGAAAATTGGCAAAGGACAATATTATGAACATCAAACAAAAGTGAATTGGAAGAGCTGAGAAAGCTGTGCTTCCAAAAGGGAAGCAAATCCAATTCTATAGACTAAATATTTAGCAGTGTGATTTAAAATAAATGCTCAAGTGGAATATGCATTTGCCTTTGCTACTGCGCTGCAAAGTATTTCCTCTAAGGCAAGCTCCGAGAAAGGAAACCAGTCACAGTGTGTTTTGGAAGGGCAGCCAGGATTCATTGCAGGAGAACTACCAGACACTGAAATTCATACTGGACTCAAAATCAATACTGAGCTTCTAGCTGTATCAAGATGTGCTAACTTCGCTTGCCAGGAAGAGGCTTCATCCATAAAGGATGCTACAAAATTTATCCACGCAGACACTGGTTTAGATGGGATGCACTAACTGTATTATCTTCCACAACATTAAAGTCCTCCTGGCAACAAAACAGAAAATGGAGTGGGGGAAAAAAAGACAGATAAGGCTTTGAACCACTCTTCACCCTTTAAGATCAATTTTACCCGAATACTTGACATAAGTACAAGCATCACGGGCATTTCTTGATTCCTGCTTACATGTATGTAAGCTGCTGCTGAAATTCAACAGGAACAAATGAAAGTGGAGTGAAAAATGATGTAAGAATTGATCTTGAAACTCAGGTTTTTGGGGTGCAACGCCAGCTTTCCCCCTGGCAATACAGAGCTAGCAAACACGGGGTCTCAGGTCTCCTTTGCCTATGTAGCGTATGTTACAGTTATAAATACAGTCTGATAACGTCCAAATAAGATGGGGACTGGTCGGGCTGGTGAGCAGCCGCAGCTTGGCACGTTGCAGTCGTGCAGGTGTCAGCAGCTCTGCTTTCACCTTGTGAGCCCCAGCCAGGCCGGGCTGGGGACGTGGCAGCACTTACTGCCCCGCTTCGCACAGGAGCTGGGAAGGAGGAACGCAGCGGGGGCTGCGGCCATGGCCCTGAACGGGCTAAACGCTGGGATCTGACACTTGCCAAATGAAGGCTTTGGCAAGTCAGGTGCCTTCTTCAGCCTCATTTCAGTGCCTTTCACAGCAGAATGATACAGCCAGGAAAGAGGAGCCCACTTCATTACTGGAGATCAAAAGCAGTCTCTGGCTGGTAGCTAGACAAAATATGGAGTCATGTGGGTCACGCCAGCAAAAGCTTGTGATGCAGTCAGGAGCTTTGATGTGATCCTTTTTCTCCTAATGCACAAAGTCCTGCTTTATGGAGCAGGAGGGGAACAGGACACATTTCCCCAGCTTCCCAACCCACCCGAGCTCATCCTCCCTCTCCGGCACCCACGTGCCGACAGCAACCATGGGCACGAACCGCTTCCCTCCTTCCTTGCCGGGGAGCTCTGCGTGTGCCCGCACGTGTCCCACCTGCCGCCTCCTGCCCGCTCTTGTGCTGCTGGGCACCAAACCTCCCTCTGCAGCTTCATTTCCCATATTCTGCAAAGCCCAAGGGAAGCCCAGGCAAGCAGGGCTCAGGAACAAAGCCAGGCGGCCTCACCTTTCGCTGCACGCTGGATAACCCACGTACCACAGACTGGACATACGAGTGGCACCCCTGATAAAACACTGATCAGCCAAGCTATTAGTTGAAATCAGAGAGACAGTCACACTGCAGCAGAAACAAAGCAGTTGTTACTGACTGGACTTGTGTTACTATAGATTATTTTGATCCCATAGGACTTCAGAAAATGTGTTTTTTTTACCAAATTATCTCTCCAGCTTTATAGCCCATTACCACACAGTGCCTAATAATGTCACAGAGGAAATTAAGAAAAAAAAATATAAAGATTTGGTTTCAATGTCTGTGTGGTAATATATTTTTATTCAAATTTAAAAAAGCTGGCATTTTGCTCTATTATGTTCTCTTAAGAATTCAAGGGACCGGCTGCCGGTTTAAGGGTCTCCTAATGGATTGGATGTGATGGGGACAGACAGCTGGGAAAGGATCGCTTGGTAAAAAGGATCGCTTGGGGAGGTGGGATGCGGGCAGGGAGAGGCACCCGAGGGGCCGGGGCGGGAGCGGGAAGGGGAAGGAGAGGGAAGGAGGCGCAGGGAAGCGTCACGCAGGGGGGTTTAAAGGAGCCGCCTGGGAGGAAGAGATAGCGGAATTCAGGGAAGGGCACGTGAGGGGGCGCCGCTATCGGCCGCCGAGGCCCGGGGCGGCGGCGGAA